AAAAAAAAAAACCCTAACTATGACGGTATAAACACATTTCGAGAATAAGACATTTGCTCACTAAGGAGGATTATCCAATCGATGAAAATCGCCAGGTCCTTGGTCCGCGAGCGAGCTAAAAAAATCGACAAAAAAGTTTGATTCTCTACAGTCATGCCTCAAGACCACCTGTCACTGTCGACTCAAGAGCTCCTTCAGAGAGTGGAAAGTATTCTGTTATTATTTTTTTTTTTTTCATTATGAATAATAGCATATTATTAAATTCAAAAACGAAACTATACACATCTTCACATAATACAAAGTCTGATGTCAACTACCGTCATCGCAATTTGAGCAACAAGTCTAAACCCAAAATGAATCATTACAAACCAAAAACACACAAAAATACAACAAAAATTTTGGAAAATTATATTTTTCTTCATAGTCCTCTTAAATTGAGAAGTATTTTGGAAACAGAAAATATTAAGGTCATGTTACAGAACTATTCTGTTGGAATTTGTAAGCGTTAGATCATCATGTAATCGTCAGAGATAGTTGATTTAATGGTTATAAATCTCGACATAGAATAGTTCCGTAACAGACCCGTAGCATATTCCTTTGGAAACTTCATAAATAATGAATTTTGTATGATAAACAAATGCTACTGGCATCCAATCACAGTCCAAATTGTCTTGTTTAGTTCACATATGGTAGAGTGGCCTTCTCCAATAATATATAGCTTTCGTGTGTTTATTTTCCTTCTTGCAAATATCAAAGTCAAAAGTTGAATCCTTCGAAATTTGCGTATTTGCCTTTGGGTACGTTATACGTGACCTGTAATGCAAGCAGGGTATAGAATATTAATTAACGAGAAAGTTATGTACTTAATTAACATTAGCACGAGAATTATATTAAAAATAAATAATATATAATATTGAACGATATTATTATTCAATGAAAATATGAATCTCATTCACGGTGGGCTCAATGAATTCAATTTGAAATGTCTCATTTTCACTTTAATTTTGAGAATATATTTTAACTGCGATTGTGAATTCGACTCGACTCCAACATTGTTTCGATTTTTGTTGCGAGGCACATTTGCATATCCTCACCAATCTATAAAACTCGTTTTATATTATAAATTTCATATTAAAATTGCATTAGGATCTAATGTGTCAACTATTTAGGGTTGTTATTGTAAATCTTCTTTATATTAAGTTATCATAATATATAATTTAATAATTTTTTAAGAAAATGAGCTTGTCATTACGTTCAAGTTTACATATATATATATAAAAATATATATATTGTTGACTTCGGTGTTACTTCCTGCGGTTGGGTAGTGACGTTGTTGATAATATATATAAATTTTGGTAAAGAACAATATATAGCAATAAGATGATAAGAATTAATAATATGCATAGAAAATTCAGAAGCATACGTAAATTAAATATAGGTTGAATTAAATATGCAGAGGAGAAGAATAATTCAAACCAGACCAACTATAAATAATATATATATTATTCATTGATCAACATGTACAATGTTCGCAAAATGAGTGGTTTACCGAACTTTATCGACCGAAAAAAAAAATTGTGCATTTTATCATCAACTTTGATTTGATATTGCTTTGAATCCGAACTAAGATTGTTATGTTACAAACGGTATGTCGAATTACAACGAAAACTATCAAATTGAAAAGATAATTTCAGTGCTTACAATCAAACACGATGAATAGAAGTTTACAATCAAACTGAGAATTGTCGCCGTGAAATAGTCTATTTTCGTATAAGATATGTATGTCTTTTACAGTGTAAATAGTCTATTTTCGTATAAGATATGTATGTCTTTTACAGTGTTAACAGTGCGTGTTGTTTCAAAAGTTGTAGCACATTAGAGTTCAAAGAGCTCTAGCAAACGAGATTAGAGTTGAGAACTAGCACAAATTTATCCCGATTTACTCATAGTTGAAAAATAAATTTCATCTTGTTTGATCCTATAGACCTTAACCTTCATATATTAGCATAATTCTAATTATGATCCTTATCACTCGTATACCTCATCGTATGACGAACTCAAAACAAGACAAACAAATAATTGTAGATTTTAATGGTGGCGTGGTCTCTTCATTCATGAGTCAATCAATTAATTTGAAGATTTGAATGTGTGTTTATCCAAACAACTTAATCATTATATCTAATGTTATTAGCTAACTTTAATTGATTATAGACCATTTCAAATGAATTATTTGCATTAGTCAATGACTTTATCAACTCAATATAGAGAAATGAATGTTCTCGCGAAACTATATTTGATAAATAATCCTAATTTTGGCTCAACTACCAATTCCATAATATTGTAATCAACCCAAAAAAGCTAAGATCTACCCAATAAGAAACGTATGTATTCGACTGACTATATTCTAGGCACGAATTGTAGTTGTAACTCAAGACAAATTATTATTACACCATTCCAAACAATATTACTTCTATAGACACATAAACAAAGTGTTTCTACAAAGGATACCAATACTTTCTGAAGTATCTATGTATCAATCACGAATAATAATTTTTAATAGTTGCGAAACAACTTCATCATTATACCTCATCTTATTAGCTAACTTTAATTGATTATATTCGAAGACCATTTCAAATGAATTATTTGCATTAGTCAATGACTTTATCAACTCAATATAGAGAAAATTAATGTCCTCGCAAAACTATATTTGATAAATAATCCTAATTTTGGCTCAACTACCAATTCTATAATACTGTAATCAACCCAAAAAAGCTAAGATCTACCCTATAAGAAACATATGTGTTCGACTGACTATATTCTAGGCACGAATTGTAGTTGTAACTCAGGACAATGATTATTACACCATTCCAAACAATATTACTTCTACAGATACATAAACGAAGTGTTTCTACAAAGGGTATACTAATACTTTATGAAGTATCTATGTATCAATCACGAATAACAATTTTTAATAGTTGCGAAACATGTTATATTATCTAAGAATGTGATGTAGATCACATGATCTATTATCATTAATATCTTTTTTTAATGATCGTCGAATTGGGTAATTTAATTAAGAGGTATTATTTACCAATTAACATCTCACCGTGTTAACGACAATACTTATTCAAGAGAAAAATTAATAACTATTTAGTTAACTACAGTACTATAATTATAATCTAAGATAATAATCACAATAAAAATAATATTAATGTGATCTGATACATATGTCCTAAAAAATATTGTCTTTAGGACACATATACTTACCCAAATAGCAAATATTCCACAAATGTCAAACCCAACAACTTAAGCTCCCTAATTGATAAATCTCTCGATATAACAATATGATAGAAAATTTAAAAAGTAAGTATCATCCTCCTTATATATTATTCTCAAATGCGCTGAGCCTACGTGGCTGTTTCTGGTGCTTCAGAATCCTACTTGGCAAAGAATCATGCTTCGTAATTAGGTTTGGAAAAATAATATTGATATATTAATAAATAATAATCTAGGTTCGGACATTCCATAAATATTATTTAGCTAACTTAGGTATTTTAATATAACTTTTACTAATATAACCCTTTAATTCTTTGTAATTTTACATAGTGAGAC